GATGGAGTGAATTGAAGCATTTTAAAGAATACCATCTATTAATTTCAAATTTTTCTGTTGCAAAAAGAAATGCAGGACCAAATTGAAGGATGCAATCTGGAAGATGAAGTAACATGTGGAATTTGGGTTTATTAACCCATTGGGCAGAAGCTTGAATCATGTGATTTAAAAATACATTAATATGATTCTTCAAATCAGAAATATATTCTGTCATGTCTTCAATATGAGTTTGAAATATTAAAGAGCCCAAGAGACAGAGTGAAGACCAGATATCAATATCAGATGAGGTCATGAATTGGAAGAAGACAAAGGGAGCTGCTTGAAGAATTATTCTGAAATATTTGCCAACTAAACTTGAAGAATATTTAACCAAACTGATGGGTCTAACGCAAGGGATATTGAGAGAATTGGTGTTGAAAGAAGTCCATAAGGCTGTGAGATCATCCTTTTGTGTTTGGTCTAATACCTTCATGAAATCTCTAAGTAAATACTTTACGGCACCAAGTAAAAAATCATGCAAGACTTCCACTGGAGTATCTTTGACCATCTCAAAACCTAAGAGTAAAAAACCAGAGGAAAGAAAAATTTCAGTAAAAAAATTGATAGAAAACCCTGAATGAAAGAAATGGCCAAAAGAAAAAACCTTTCAGCTCAAAGTAAGGATTGAACATTCTTTTAGGTTCCTTATCTTCCATATCAACCAATTCCTGAGGAACGTCTTGATCCATATCAGATGATAATTCTTCTCCAGCTTCAAGTAACTGAGTTTTTTTTGCATCAAATTTGAATAATTGTTTGGCAAACTTTCAATTGGTTTGATCCCGTACACCCAAATCAGCAGATTTCTTGTCTAGTTTATCCAGATTAGCAGTTTCCTTGGTGTGTGTCCACAGCTTTTTGGAGTTTTCTTTTGTTTTTTCCATAGTTTAATGCAGTTGATTTGGGCACTATATCAGAAAACAAAGCAAGATTTTAAAAACATCAAAAAAAGATACTAATGATGAAAATCCAAAAAATAACAAGAAAATCAATACATTTGATCCATGCAAGTTTTTCTGGGTGAATTTGCAAACATATGGAAGCTTCTTCCTGGCTTTCAAGCTGGACAAACTCAAATCACAGCGTTGGCAAGGGTTGAGAGAATTTCCAGGAACTGGTGTGTTGGTAATCTTGGCATGCATTGGAGAATCAGCCAGAAAACATAAGAAACTAGTCATGACATGAACTTCTTGGCAGATGGGGCTATCATATGATTTGAAGCCATTCATAGCCATTTCACTAAATTAAAAAGAAAAAAAAATCAAAATAATCAAAACAATGATAAAAATCACACTGGCGCATTCTAAAATGAAAAGACCCACTTTAGCTGTTCAACAACCATATCTCCTAATTCCAAAGTTCCAGTGATGTTTGATGTGCAAAGAAAATGGCAATTGGCTTGCTGATTGGAAATTTTGGGTGGTAAGCCAGAGAGTGTAAAGTAATAAGAGATGTGTTTATTCCATTTCTTAGATTTATTTCCAGATGTTTTGTCACAGTATAATGTGATGGGAACATTTCGTAGGATATTTTCATCTGCTTTCTTCCTCCAAGGATTTGGTAGGATGATGTTTGAATTCCATCCGCTGCAATCATTAATTTCTTTTTTTGATAAAAAACAAGTATCAAAAACCAACATTAACATGCATGAATGTGTAAATTCTTTGTTGAAGATTTCTTCCACAACATTCTGATAACATGAAACCATCCTTCATCTTAATTTCCCCAATATATGTCAGTTCAAATTCTTCAACAGGAATTGTTTCCAAATTTTCATCATCAAACAAAATTTTATCAGGAATTCCAATTTCAACTGTAGCATGTTCTTTTTTTGATCTGAAAGTTGGGGTAGAACACTTTGCAAAAAGGTGGTTTGCTGAGAAAGGAAGAAGATTGGGATAGTAATCTTAGAAGACTTCAATTGAACTGGTTCAACTTCCCCAAGAATAAAACCATCAGGTGAGTACTCACATTCTTAATCAAATCACTGGCCTTCAATCCAAAAACGGTTTCTTTCTTGATGACAGTCTGATTAACCAGCAAGCGGATTTGGGCGCGCATAATTTGTAAGGCTTCCCAGCAGGGAATATTGATGGAGTTTAGAGTAAAGAATAACCGTATTTGATGGTATGAGTCATGCAAGATAAGCTTGTGTAAGTATCCAACAAGCAGGGAACCCATCAGGTACTGTAGGAACCAAAAATTTGTAAGTTACTTCCATTTTCTTTTTCCTCTTATTTAATCAGTTTCCTGTTCAATTTATTCTTACTCACTTCTTTACTCAGAAATGGATACCAGGCTGAGTTTTCAGGGGAAACCTTTTTTATCTTTTCCTCTTTGCGGCAAAGGGTTTGGGAAAAACGACTCCCAAAATCCGCCCAGACTTTAGAAGATGACTGACTCCCAACGGACATCCGCTGATGGTCGTTGGGAGTTGTTGGCGAAAAAATGGGAGTCGTTTTTCCCAAGCCCTGCGGCAAAATAGAGGGCTCAAATCAGCTAGAGTGTCCTTTGGCGGCTCCAAATCAATCTGACCAACGGCTATGCCAACCAAATCCATCCAAGTTGTCTCGGCCTCCTCGTCATCTTCACATTCCTCGACCTCAAACGTTCCCGGAATGATTTTGTCTATCTCTTTGTCTGTTGCTTTTTCATTGTCGGCTTCCGAGTTTGCCCCACTAGGATCTTGATTGCAATCAATCACCGGCTCAAGCTGACTGATGTCTTCATCAACAATCATTCTCTCCCCATTCAAAGCTTCAGCCGCCACCCTATGAGCATCCTCCTTGTCATTTTGCTTGGTGTTCAGTTTCACAAGATTTTGATGTCGTGAGTTTTGACAGTGTCTATTTTGGTCCTTTGTCCTCCTTCCTTTACATAGCCAACACTCATATCTTCTCCCCTGTTTTGTATTCCTTTGCAAAAAATCTTAAAGCAAGTAGAAAAGTGAGTCTCTTTGCCATCAAATTTATATCCATAACTAAATTGGTTCAAAGCTCACACTTGTAATTTGTCTCCGTGTTTTGACCAAGTATAGCACTGTCAACTAACTGCCTTGCTTTGTTTTTCTGATTGACACGTTCTTTCCACTTCTCAATAAATATCATATCAGAATTAAATTCTTGACAAGTCGGAGGATCAAACTGAAGGAGGAGGTTGGTATTAAACTCTTTTTATCAATTTATCTTGGACTGTGGTCCTTTAATGTTTTCACTCTTTTTTTCTGTTTCAGATTTGCTTTAAAAACTGATTGACATTCATTCTTCCTTCTCCCACATTTTCCTCTCCTCAACCTCACCAACCACCCAGTTTGTTGCTAAGTTGAACCGATAAAGTTTTTATTTTGATTCTTCTCTCCGATTGAAGCTTACTCCCTCCCTTCTGATCATGTTAAAATTGAACAATCTCATGCAAGGAGATCCTGACAATCCTGCCACTCAACTTGAGGCAGGTGATGATGATCACTACAATTCATCCTCCAAAGAACATGATTGTCCGCCTTCCAGCCATATGGAAATCACCAATCCCAACAACATGTTTGCTGCTTTACCCTCTCACAATATGACCAATCAATCCTCTTCCTCTTATCCTAACACAAACATTGAGCAAATTTGCTCTGATCTTCAATCCAAATTGAAGCTCAATCCTGAGCATCTGGATATTGCTCTTATTGGAAGCAAGGTTTGTTGATTGTCTCTTTTTTCACTTCATCATTTCATTCTGCACTCGGACTTCATCTCATCTCTTTTCAATATATCTCTTCCCTCTCACGTGGCTAATCCTGAAGCGAGACACACCAGCTTAGTCTTTACAAATGGTGTGTATCAACAAATCAACTATCAAGACAGCGGTTCACAAAAAGCGGGCTTTGCGTATGGCAGCACTTTCAGAGTAAGCATTTTGAGCTAATCAATCTCATTTCTATTGTTTACTTACAATTTAATTACTTCTATCTGGTAAATACCAATCACCATCAGGACTTTGTGAGAGCTAGTGCTTGGATGTTCTTACTCAATACACCCCTTGAGGCGTACTCCAACAATCCACACCAAAACGGCAAAATACCAAAAAGCTTATTCTACGTGACACTTCTAAGTTGCTCTCCTTTCTCTCTGATTTCATTTCATCTAAGCAGATCTTTCAATTTTTAGGATGCTTTTGAAAAACAGCCTGATGCATGGAAGACCAATCACCTTCCAACCAACGGACTTTGGGAAGATCCAGATGTCCTTAACCACTATTGCGAGGTCATCAGCAACCTTTTGAAATACCAACACAGTGATTTGCATACACTGGTGTGTTACTTCTTTGTATGTTTTTTTCAATCTTCATTGATTCTTCTTTTATAGCTCCTAGCAGACATTCTTGTGACCAAGAAGAAACCGGTGGTCGGTGTAATTCCTAATTGTGGGCAGTTGTTGGCTTTGGTAAGTGTTTGGCCAATTGCAAACTGCTATCGGTATACTTACCTTTCACTTTTCCTTTCTAGATTTATGAAGAGCTCCCACCTAAATTGTCAAAGCTCAGCAAGTCCAAAATCAAGAATCAAGTCCGTTCAAACTTTGCAACATGAGCTCAAATGTGCTATGCCCGTCTGGTCATGGTGCATTACTATGTACACAGGTCTAAGAAAGAATCTCATTGGGTTGAAATTGACAAGCGATTGGGTATTCTCCAAGGATCATCTTTTGATTTCCAAAAGAAGTAAGTCTTACTGTGAGCCTGGGTCTCAAACGTGACAGCAGGACACAAGGATTGGGGGCAATTCTAGATGTCTTTCAAGGGGATAAAGAAATACAACTAGAATAAGAGAAAGGGAGAGAGAAAGAAAGAGAAATGAAATGAATAATATATTTTATTGTTTATTTGTTTGATAATCAAGGTTTACTACAGTCTTACTTTCCTTTAAGGATGGCTGTTATTAAGCGGAATTAATCTACGCCTCCTATCAACTGAAACTGAATAGGGTACTTGGCATTGAATATATGTCAATCCAACCTCAATTTTTTAGATATATGATCAAGGTTCTTTAAAGGGAAACCTATGTGGTTTTCAGTTATACCACCAAACAGAGAATAATGATGACTTGATTTGATTTGATGATGATTAAGGCAGAGGTTTAGTAGAAACAGAATGATGTGATCATTCAGAGAGACAGAGAAGGAACTTAGCAGAAAGATGCAAGCTGAACTTGTGGAGTGACTTAATTATTGGTGATCCTGACACAATGAGTGGGAAGATTCCAATATTTAAGGGA